AGGGGTCAGGATAAGGCTTTAGGATGGGACGGGGGAAGAGGAATGGTGCCCAACCACTTGTGGACGGTCGGGGATTGAACGCCGACCTGCATGAAGAGAGACCGTCGCTCTAGCGTCCAGCCCAAGTAGGTTGGCATACCAGGAGTGGGTTCTTCAGACTTCCGCACTCTGAGCCCGACCTGAGGCGAGGCGATAATTTGATCTAGAAGGCTGTTGCTCGAGGCATATAACATACGATACGGCTGACTGCTCCCCAGGACCCCAATGCGTAACGAATGTGAATAAGACAGTTTCCTTTCTTCTGATTGAGCTCTTAAACCATATCTCAAGATTCCTCGGCATTGATTGATGAAGATTAATCCACCCACAAGGTGGCATGGGCATGAATAGCCCGTAATCCTCGGGATTAATATTCGGCTTTGATTCGAACATCTTGATGTTCGTAAATCAAAGATGTTGTTCCTCATCTTTATTTCATATTGTTGATAAGAATATAAAGAAAATTGCAAGAATACGAAGTAAATATCAGAATAGGAAACTGGAAGTATTGAAGACGTGAATAATGGGACGGGAAGAAGAAGATAAGTGGAATAAAGAAGAGGCACTAAGAAGAGCAAGCAGTAATGGGGGAGAGTGAGAAGAGAGCCGAGGAGAATTGGGCAAGAGGAGAATGGGAAGAGGATTGGGTGAGGTGATGATACGATTGGAGTGTGAAGAGGATTTTGAGATTAGGGGAATGGATTGGATAGAAGTTAGAGGAGGTGGTGGGGTTGAGTGTTAGGGGGAGGATTAGGGGAGGGAGGGGTGGGCGTGGGGCTAAGGGGGTGATTGGGGGGAGAAGGGGGGGGTGGGGGGTTGGCGTGGGGGCACTGAGGTCATTCACTCCTGCACTCCGGGCCAGCATCCACACCTCTCCTGCCTCCAGCTTGTACATCACTACGGGCTCACCATAGCCCGTGCTACTTGGAACTTGTTCCGAGTAGCTGAATCTATAACAACAACAACGTCTTTTTGCATTTCTTAAAGATTAAATAACCTTCTAATCTTCACAACCCAAAGCTGTTATTGTTATAAGCAACCTGGTAACGCTTCGGAGCTCATAAACTCTTTAAATATCTGGAAACAAAGCCACGATGATTGAGGAAAGATGCACAGGTTTCGTAAATGACTGATAGATCCATGCTTTGATCATCAGAGTAGCGGTTGTCTATGGGAGGGAAATAAAATCACATCACCACAAAGAAAATGGTTCTAGAGATGAAGGGAAGATGGTGAGTGATAAGGAAGGTGGTGAAGGGTAAGGAAGGTGGTGAAGGGTAAGGAAGGTGGTGAAGGGTAAGGAAGGTGGTGAAGGGTAAGGAAGGTGGTGAAGGGTAAGGAAGGTGGTGAAGGGTAAGGAAGGTGGTGAAGGGTAAGGAAGGTGGTGAAGGGTAAGGAAGGTGGTGAAGGGTAAGGAAGGTGAAGGAAGTACTAAGAAGACAGGAAGAGAGGGGATAGAGTGGGAGAGAGAGAAAGGGAATGAGGAGAGACCCGGGTGTAGCCGGTTCTCTCTCCCAGTGTGTGGGAGAAGTATATATATATATATATATATATATATATATATATATATATATATATATATATATATATATATATATATATATATATACGCGAACAAGCCTGAATGGTCCACAGGACTATATGCAACTGAAAACTCACACCCCAGAAGTGACTCGAACCCATACTGCCAGGAGCAACGCAACTGGTGTGTACAGGACACCTTAATCCACTCGACCATCACAACCAGTCAATCGTCGTGAGTTTTCAGTTAGCTATATATATATATATATATATATATATATATATATATATATATATATATATATATATATATATATATATATATATATATATATATATATATACATGCTAAAAAGAGAATATTTACATCACTAAAAGCAGTTAAATATATATCCTATATTAAATAATTAACATTCAAAAAGTTAAAAGAATCTATATACAAATAAAAGCACAATAATGAAATAACTCAAGACATACTTAAGAGAAGTTGACAATTAGTGAATCAAGAACTAAGTCGTCGGTTCAATGGTTAACGTTCACGTAAGACAGAACGACGAAGTATTCTGAGAAACGGAAAGGTGACCGATGTTCCGTCGCTACAGAGACAAATACTCGTACAAAGAAGCTATACAAAGGGATCGAACTCGCGTTCCTGTCCTCGACATGTACACGTTCAGATACATCACCTGGTTTCCTGTGGATTTCACTGTGCACAAAAACAAGTAAAAAACACTAGATGAAGTAATAATTCGTCTTGAAATGATTTCGGGACTTAGCGTCCCCGCGGCCCGGTCCTCGACCAGGCCTCGTTTTTGTTACATACATCCCCAGGAAGCAGCCCGTAGCAGCTGTCTAACTCCCAGGTACCTATTTACTGCTAGGTGAACAGGTGCATCTGGGTGAAATAAACTCTGCCCATTTGTTTCCGCCTCTACCGGTTATCGAACCCGGAACCTTAGGGCTACGAATACCGAGCGCTGTCCACTCAGCCGTCAGGCCCCTTTCGTTAAACAAAAGGATTAATCACTCAAGCATTAAATACTAATTGCAAAATTGATTAACTAGAAGTAACGAATTATCTCCTTCAGAAGAAACTAAAATCAACAGATCAATGACATTCTTTCAATTATTCATCCAACCCATCCTCCGAATTGACAGTACGTTTTAATACTAAGTATAATAAGTACATTTCCTGACTGTCATACATAGTACATAATTGCACTTATGGGGCTGTTACATTTACCTCCCCATTTTTGGAGGACGGGCTGATTCATAAGCTAAAAGCAACAACAAAAATCGACACCCTTAAGACGTGACCTCCTCGACCTGCAGACCGAACAGGTTTGGCAAGAATTGCTTGAAGTTCATCTACACGGCTCAATAATGGTCTCTGACGGACCAAAACGCCGTCATTTCTTGAGTTTTCGTGCGTGAGCGTCTTACTTTCAGACCCGACCCTGAAACTTGTGTCTTCATCTACAAGCTCCGTAAGTACTTGAAAAGATGTATTACATGTAAACTGTGTCTCGAATCACGTTTTGAACTCATCCGGTTTGAGAAAGATTCTCGGAGCAATTTCAGAATTCTTTCTTAAATGCTTACATAAATTCCAGCATTGTAGAAAGTAGTGTTGTAGTAACACTTGTAATAACAGACTACGAGCTGGGATATGAGGACACACAGGAAGTAGCAGTAGTAGTCATCCACCAGTCTCAGGAGACTATGGAGTTGCTCTCTGGTTGTCGGTCTGGAGTGGCCTCTCCAGGGCGCAAAGCCTGGGTAGGTTGATACGGAGGAGAAGCTGTCAGGCATGCAGCAGGTATCCCACTCTCCAGGACGCAAAGCCAGGGGTAGGTTGATACGGGGAAGAAGCTGTCACCCATGCATCAGTCCCCCCCCCCCTCGCCAGGGCGCAAATCCAGGGGTAGGTTGATACGGGGAAGAAGCTGTTACCCATGCAGCAGGTCTACGTTCCCGGCTCTGGTCAATACAAACACATGTTCCCCGAAAACTTACAAACTGAACATGAAACTCGTGAACGCAAATCACGTTCAGGACCGATGGATTACTACTCCAGAACTGTGACTTTTCATCCAAGTTGAGAAAATAAATGCACCAGTGTTGCCAACAGGAAAATGCATTCTGGCATGCACCAGTCTTGCCAACAGGAAAATGCATTCTGGCATGCAGTCAAGATATGCATGAACCGAAGAGAGAGAGAGAGAGAGAGAGAGAGAGAGAGAGAGAGAGAGAGAGAGAGAGAGAGAGAGAGAGAGAGAGAGAGAGAGAGAGCGACAGAGAGACAATACTAATAAGAGCGATCTCGAACCAAGCCCTCAAACCAGGAGGCCTGGTCGAGGACCGGGCCGCGGGGACACTAAGCCCCGAAATCATCTCAAGATAACCTCAAGATAACGGTGCAAGGTACTGTGGAAAGTGCGTGGTAGTATTGGATACAGTGCAAATTACAATGCACAGTAGTATGGCCTACAGTGTAGGATACAGTATATTGCAGTATAAAATACAGAAGTGCATACAGTGTAGGGTATATTGAATGGTTAAATATTGGTACAGCAAACACTTGTATGTATAGTTATGTACTATAAAGGAACCCCGAGAGTAAAATACATAATATTTTGTACCTGAAATACTTTCAAATGCCTTATGTACTTATAAAAAAGTATTGAAACAAAGCATTTTATTATCACGCGTATCAAAAAAATCGACAATTATATATATATATATATATATATATATATATATATATATATATATATATATATATATATATATATATATATATATATATATATACTTGCTGGATAGTCAGTTGGTTACTATTTTGACCCATAATAACCCCTCCAGAGGTGGTTAATAGGTCTTAACTCTCCAGAGGGTGGTAGGCCGAATAGCCCTCCAAAGAGCAATAGGCCTAATAACTCCTTCAGACGGCTGATAGGCCTTAATAACCCGCGTGCAGTTGATAGGCCTTAAGTCCAAGAGTAACTCAATATGCTAGAAGGTTAACCGAGTCGTTGCTAGGCCTATTTTTACTGAAGCGACCATACGAGTCATAAATACTCATACTCCGCCCAAGTAAAACAGAAACAAGCAAAACTTAGTGGGCCAGCCAGAGGCTTAGGGCCCGCGCAGGAATATCCCTGCAAAAAAAAAGTTGCTAGGCCTACGTGATTTGTGTTGCCAATTAAGACACCCACAGGTAGGTAACAAGGGGGGGGCTCACCTCTTAATTTGTCAATTAATAAAAAAAATCCAACTAATTTTTACCTAACCTGCAAATTACACACGTAAGCAACCCACCTAACCTATCGAAGGGCGCTTTAAGTTGTAATAATACATGGTATTTTAAGCGGATTGGTTGACTGTGAAAAAAAAAATAATGGAATGCATTAGGTGAGAGAACGATTGGGCAGACTCACCTGTTGTGGTTAGCGTGGCGACGGTGGCTAGGAGAGCCAGGGAGAGTACTGACCTCACCATTCTTCTCACTTCCTCAACGCACTCATCAACAAACACACACTCACACTCACCAACACTCACTTAACTCTGGCCCCACAAACACACTCGCGTCTCTCACTTTCTATCCTGATTCATGTTCACTGTTCACTGTTACTTAGCCACCGGATGGTGAGTGCGGTGATGAGAGGGGGTGAGAGAGCGTGTGAGAGTGATGAGGGAGAGTGAGGGAGAGGCGCTACGTCTTCCCTTCTCTACACTCCGCGAGCAACTGAGAGAGGTGACCGCGTCCTTAGAGATCCCGAATAAGCCATTCTTGCCTCCAGGCAAGAGGGGGAGGGCTGGGGTGGGGGGTTTAGTGGCGTGGGAAGGGGGGAGAGGGGGTATAGTGGCGTGGGGGTGTGTGGGGACGAGGGGGGGAGGTATAATCCCTTCAATACATTGTCGTAATTTGTTATAAGATAATCATATATATTCTGAGATGAGATAATATTACCAGCGACTATATTATTGAAATAACATCTTACCAGTCATTCTTTAAGACATATTGCAGAGTGGAAAGAGCAATCAAATCTGCTCATGTTAATATTCTCATCAAGATTCCTTAATATGTCAGGGTTCTTAGGTGAAGATTAGGACAAATTGCAGGTATTTCCGTTCAGTTGCATTTAGAAACACAAGAAATCCCTGCCCTATGCCCGCTGGCATCAGAAACAATTATCAAAGCTGTCATATCCGGCTCCATTACCACAAGCATCAGTATATATATATATATATATATATATATATATATATATATATATATATATATATATATATATATATATATATATATATATATATATATTATATATATATATATATATGTCGTACCTAGTAGCCAGAACGCACTTCTCAGCCTACTATGCAAGGCCCGATTTGCCTAATAAGCCAAGTTTTTCTGAATTAATATATTTTCTCTAATTTTTTTCTTATGAAATGATAAAGCTACCCATTTCATTATGTATGAGGTCAATTTTTTTTTTATTGGAGTTAAAATTAACGTAGATATATGACCGAACCTAACCAACCCTACCTAACCTAACCTAACCTATCTCTATAGGTTAGGTTAGGTTAGGTAGCCGAGAAAGTTAGGTTAGGTAGGTTAGGTTGTCGAAAAAACATTAATTCATGAAAACTTGGCTTATTAGGCAAATCGGGCCTTGCATAGTAGGCAGAGAAGTGCGTGCGTTCTGGCTACTAGGTACGACATAAATATATATATATATATATATATATATATATATATATATATATATATATATATATATATATATATATATATAAAGCCTGAATGGTCCCCAGGCATATATGCAACTGAAAACTCCACAACCCATGAGTGACTCGAACCCATACTGCCAGGAGCACTATGCAACTGGTGTACAGGAGACCTTAACCGCTCGACCATCAGTGACCGTACAAAAGATGATGGTAGCCGAAGCTATTTGCTCATCATCCCGACGGCGCTCTGATGGTAATCTTGTGCATAGTATTTTATCAAATCACCTCATTTTGTGTTGCTCACGTGGCCCCCCAAAAAATATCCATCCGGTTGTAAATCATCCGGATGTTACGATTTCAGCTGATTTGTATAAGAGTAAGTTTGTAAAGTCGACTTCTATAGTTATCAGAAGAATTTTAGCTGATGAAGTTTGGCTTAAGTGATTTTTAGTAACTAGATGAGATAGATAAATAGCTTTGGGTGAATGAATGACGGGTTTCCTAGCTATGTATAAATATGTATGTTTTCCAATTACATAGAAAGATTGAAGAATCTTTTTTTGTAACAAGGAAAGATGAAAAAGCTTTGAATTTAAGAGTATAAAAGCTTTATCAACTGTAAGGTTTCAAGAAAAGCCTATGCTTTTTTGGTGGGTGGGTGGAGGGGGGGGGGCGTGGTCGGTAACCAAGGGGGGTAATACAATACTCTCCCTTTATCATCCGGACACCGGCAACCGGACACCAGCAACAGGACGAGCCCCGAGAGGAGACGCGAGGCATTAACCACATCGTCTCGGGTTCGAACCTCCTCCACAACCGGACGGGACTGAAAACAGACTTTTCAGGGCGAGGGTTCAAGAAGCACTTATACGCGTTACTTCCGACTCATCCCACTGTCTCAGTAGTCTCACACTGAAGGAACTCCTTATCAAGGCCACTACGGGATCACCATATCCCGTGCTACTTGGAACTTTTTTGTTCCGAGTCGCTGAAGCTAAAATAACTCGTCCCCATCATCTGAGAACTCAGATAATAACTGATGAGACAGATGATAATTGAGACATAAATGAGACAGGTGAGGCAGAGATGAGATGAGATAGACAATTTGAAATGTGTTAATTGAACACCTTATAGGCACTCGCGTTGAACCTTACGTATGATAAATAGTTAATTTGGGATTAAATCCCTTAAACTAATCCTTACGCATCTGTCTTAAGCCCTGGGAGTTGATTACCAGTTCCCTCAGGTCTTTATTCACAGGCTCGTGGACCCTTCTTGTAGCACACATCTAACCTACTATTCATCAAGTTCTTAAGTGTTCACTAACTAAACATTTACATCTTTCCTTAATCACTGGGTTGTTGTGGAGTGCAAAGGTGAGGAATGTTGACGAAGACAGTACAAGTGTCTTGTTTTGGGAGTAGTAATTTTGTTTGGTTGGGGGGAGGGGGGTGTGGGGGAGAAATGGGTGTGGGGGGTGGGGGTGTAAAGGGAGGGGGGGTGTGGGGGGAGGAGTGGCTGTGTTATTTTAGCCATATGTGTGTGGCTGTGTTGTTTTAGCCACATGTGTGGCTGTGGTGTTTGGAGCGAGAGTGACGGTTTTGGTAGAGTTAGCGGTGGTGCGGGCGGTTTGGGGTGAGAGAGGGGGGAGAAGAGAGAGAGAGAGAGAGAGAGAGAGAGAGAGAGAGAGAGAGAGAGAGAGAGAGAGAGAGAGAGAGAGAGAGAGAGAGAGAGAGAGAGAGAGAGAGAGGGGTCAGTGCCGAGGTCACACGCCACACAACTCCCTCCTCCTCGCTACTAGCGTCAAGCCTCGCTAACTCTCACCTCAATATTTACTCTCACAACTTTCGTTCTAACCATCGATGAAGTCAAATCATTTCCTGGACGGCTGATCTGCCAGTTAACGCCTCGCCCGTTAGTTCAGTCTCCCTTAACATCAACGGGGAGAGAGAGAGAGAGATTATCTCGTTGGCAATAATCCCAACTGAAACTCTTGAGAGAAATTCACTGAAAAGACCTGACTACTTGCTTGGAGGAAGGTGACCTCTTGACAGTCTCTCTCTCTCTCTCTCTCTCTCTCTCTCTCTCTCTCTCTCTCTCTCTCTCTCTCTCTCTCTCTCTCTCTCTCTCTCTCTCTCTCTCTCTCTCTCTCTCCCCCGTCTTTGTTTCTACATTTTTAACCCAGTGTTGTTGTTTTTTTCTCTGCCACTGATGAAGCTTGATAGTCTGTTCTTCAGTGTTATTCGCTGTCAGTGTTGTGTTGAGCTAAACTGCATTCCGCTGCGTTTGTTGATCTTTCACCCGCGAACTGTCCCAGTTTGCCACAAGGGGAGAAGAGGCATTTGAAGAGTTGATGTAGAAAAAACACATATGTTAGAGAAAATTATCTGTCGACATGTTCAGCTAGTGTGTGTGTGTGTGTGTGTGTGTGTGTGTGTGTGTGTGTGTGTGTGTGTGGTGTGTGTGTGTGTGTGTGTGTGTGTGTGTGTGTGTGTGTGTGTGTGTGTGTGTGTGTGTGGTGTGTGTGTGTGTGTGTGTGTGTGTGTGTGTGTGTGTGTGTGTGAGTGTGTGTAAAGATAAAGATAAAGACATTATTTAGTGTGTGGAACACGCACAAAGGGACACAGGTGGAACTGAGCACCCAAATGAGCCACAGAGAAATTATCAATATTTCTTTGTGTCAGAGTAGTTAACAAATGGAATGCATTAGGCAGTGATGTGGTGGAGGCTGACTCCATACACAGTTTCAAATGTAGATATGATAGAGCCCAGTAGGCTCAAGAACCTGTTGAGAGGCGGGACCAAAGAGCCGAAACTCAGCCCCTGTAAGCACAATTAGACGAGAACACACACACACACACACCCACACCCACATCCACCCACACCCACACTCACCCACACCCACACCCACCTACACACACACGAGTCTGTCTCCACCACTTGTTAATGCGTTTTGTGTGTACACTAGTGATTCTTATCTAATTCTTACTGGTACCTTTTGCTTGTGTTTACTCTATAGTTTCCATCCGTGTCCTATTTGTCAGTGATTGTGGTGGTTGTGGTGAGGTGTGGACGTGTCTCAGTGGCAACTCTCCCATGGCCCTGGGCTCCACCCACGCCAATTAACAGCTAGTCCATCTAGGCTCGTCCAAGCCCGTTCTGACTCCTCCTGACCCCTCTTAACCCCTCCTGACCCCTCTTTGGTCATCATCCGTCCCCCTCTAACAACGTGATATTATCCTTGAATCGCTTCTCTGCCTCCCATTCGTGGTTTTGGGGTCACCACAACTGTAACTTAACTACAGACCTCGTAACATGGCCCTTAGTACTAACGACCTTGTTCCCTGTGTCCGGTATTCGTGTGCGAACTCGCTGAGGTAACCGGCTTGGCCTCGTGGGTCGGTTAATGTCGCGGTAGCTGACTTTTGGGACCGGATTGTTTAGTGTGTTGAGTGTGTGTGTTGCTGGGAAGTGTGTGTGTGTGTTGCTGGGACGTGTGTGTTGTGTGTTATGTGTGTTGTGTGTGTGTGTGTGTGTGTGTGTGTGTGTGTGTGTGTGTGTGTGTGTGTGTGTGTGTGTGTGTGTGTGTGTGTGTTGCTGGGTTGTGTGTGTGTGTGTTGCTGGGACGTGTGTGTTGTGTGTTATGTGTGTTGTGTGTGTGTGTGTGTGTGTGTGTGTGTGTGTGTGTGTGTGTGTGTGTGTGTGTGTGTGTGTGTGTGTGTGTGTTGCTGGGAAGTGTGTGTGTGTGTTGCTGGGACGTGTGTGTTGTGTGTTATGTGTGTTGTGTGTGTGTGTGTGTGTGTGTGTGTGTGTGTGTGTGTGTGTGTGTGTGTGTGTGTGTGTGTGTGTGTGTGTGTGTTGCTGGGAAGTGTGTGTTGTTTATTATGTGTGTTGTGTGTGTGTGTGTGTGTGTGTGTGTGTGTGTGTGTGTGTGTGTGTGTGTGTGTGTTTACTAGTTGTGTTTTGCGGGGTTGAGCTTTGCTCTTTCGGCCCGCCTCTCAACTGTC